GGTTCTGTCTGTATTCTATGTGTGTAGTGCTCTGCAGAGGGGGTGTAGGGTATTAACTGGAGACTGGGTGCTAGCCTAATGCAGGCAGTAACATAAATAAATATTCTTCTGGGCTTTCCGTGATGTGTGTTACTGTAACACCAAATCAGCATGTGCATGAATGGATGTAGGGTTGCAACATCCTTTCTGAAGCAAACAGCATTTTTGGAAAAAAAAAAAAAAAAAAAAAGGGCAAACAACAACAACAAAAAACCTTCAGCCAAAGCAATATCAAAGTTGTATTTCAAAATCCCTGCTGATTTGGGATACCTCACTGATTGTATGTAACTTGAAGAAGTCTCTAGGGTCTGATGTTTGAAAGCACCCAGTGTGCTTAATGTTTCTGTAGGTGTTCCAAAAAAGCATAAAATCATTTCAGGATCCAAATTTTATAGATGGTGCAGAAGAAACAGAAAGACAGAGCTGTGTCAGTGTGAGATGAATACTAAACCTGATTGTATTCTTTAATGTAGCCAGCAGCACAAAATAAGCAAATTAAAAATGGATTTTCTTTCAGTTCGTTTTTGTAAGAACTACTTGTTTTCTGAACACTCTTCCCCTTCATTTATCAGTCCAGTTTCTAATCTCTTTAATTAAATCTATAATTATTATGGATTCACAATCTATAGAAGAACGATAGTGATACTCATTTTTTATCTTATCTTTTTCTTATTGTAAAAGAATAAACTGATCAAAACAAATATTCAGTACAAATTTAGTAAATAAAAAACATAGCTATTTTCAAGATAATAAGTAAACATTAACAAAAAAATGTTAAGGAGGAAAAATGCCTCACTTTTTTGATTTATTTTTGTTAATCACGTTTTTATGATAGGAGAAATTTCCTTAAGTGTTGAAGTTTTGCCCACTCTGATTTGTTGCTACTTATTGGTTTCAAATACTAATTTAATAATACTTTGCTCTTACATCAGGTCTACAATTTGTAATGTGCTTTACAGAATCTGATCTGATGCATTCCCTGAAGCAAGTAACCAAGTCCATCCAAATTGATTCTCCCATTGATTTCTGAGCCTGTAAATTTGTGTGGATTGCAGCACTTTATTTTTTCCTTTGCTTCTGGCTCTATTATAGCTAATATTCCTTTCTTCTTTCTCTACATTTTTAATTCCTTCGCCATTCTCCTTTACAGATGCACTGTCTCCCTTTATCTTGTTCTCTCTTTTCTTTGCTCTTTTCTTTCTTCTCTTTTTTTTTTTTTCTTGTTGTTGTTGTTTCTGTGGTTTGGGTTTTGTTGGTTTTTTTTTTTTTTCCTTCTGCTGCCTTCTGTCAGTCCAGGAAGGTTTTCATCTCACACTCCTTTCTAATTTCTGCTTGATTTCCCCTGCTGCTCTTCTCTGTTTGTATTTGGTGCAAAGCTGCAGGAGGGCATAAAACATGCACACACAGTGCTAGTACGCTTTGTTAGCACCTAGAAACTTACCTTCAGCCGTATTTATCACAGGAGAAATTGTAAATGGGATAGGTAGTTAAAGCTAAAGGCAGAAACATGCATTTCAGAAAATGACTCTTAGACTGTTCCTTTTTACTAGGTAGCTACAGAGTGCCACCTATTGCCTCCAACAATGAGCTTTTAGAATAAGTTACCCTGAAATTACCTTTGCTTCAGTTGCTGTTTTCTGTAGAAAACTACATACTTCTGCTGAGTGCGTTACTGCACAAAAACATCATCCACATTTTAGTTCCTTATCTTTCACTTCTTTCTTACTCACCCATCACAATACCATCTCTAAGTCTTTGATTCCATTATTTCCTTTGCAGCATTTATCTGCATTCTGTCTCAAGTCCCTTCATGCGTATGAGAATTACAATCATAAAGATTTGAATAAAGGCAAAGGAGTTCATCGTCATGTTGCTTCCCAGATATTAAAGAAAAAACTGGAGCACTTCTTCTTAGATCTCCTTAATCACATTAAAATAGATGACTATAAACCTACATTTGAAATGAATAAACATGTAACATCCTCATCTTATCTTTATCAAAATTAGCCTTTTATTTGAGTGTGGCTAAAACATTGACAGATAACTCATTTCTTCATTATTCTTAGGAGATGATGTGGTCATCTGGTATTGTAGTTTGTTTGCTTGAAAAACTTTTTTCCTACTTTAACTTCATAGCATGCTACAAAGCTTTGCTGTCATCATAAGGGGTTTTTTTCATTTTCATCCTAAGTTCACTATCCAAGTGTGAACTATGATATATTTTTAAAATCTTAGTCATTTATTATATTATGGCGACTTGGCGTATGCCTTCTGCTTCCTGTAGTTTTTTCAGTACAGTCATGGCTAAAGGTTATTTCTATGACGATGACAACAACACTTCTTCGTTCTTGCATCCAGCTTTCAGATTCTGCAGGATACTCAGATATGAAAGAAATATGAAGACATGTTATGGTTGGTCAGTATTTATAAACCCAAATTTGAGTCATGACCAAAAGGACCTGATCAGGCTAAAGAGCAGGAGCCAAAACGCACCGTGTCCTAATCACGGCTTCTGACATTTCCCCGTTATTGGTTGAGCTTCCTCTGAACATAATCGTTCAAGAGCAGAATGTGAATTTTGCTGTCAAAAGGCCAAAATTACAAAACAGCACTGACAGCGTTTTAGGTGTAAATCTGCTGACTTGATCAGAGACAGGGATTAATAACTGGGCCAACTTTTTGTTGAGCTGCACAGCTTACTGTTCAGTAGCTACGCAGTTGTATTGACCTAGTTTTGCCCATAGCGCTAGCTTTCAACTTTCTGATCCAAGCTGCCTGTCATCTGTGGAAATACTCAGTTTCATTTAGAACACGAGCTCTTCTGATTTCTCACCAGCAGAGCATGCAAATAGGTTTGTTTGACTTTACTGCCTCTTTTTCCCGCAATACTCAGGTAAATAAAATCGGCAGCAGCTCAGCTGTCGCAAAGCATTTTTGATCTGTAGGACTCGAAGACGACAAGTGTCACTGTGTCAGTTTGTGGACGAGGAAATTGAAGCTGGAAGAACAAATGACTTGCCAAGATCACTCAGCAGCACGTGGGCTAAGCAGGGGAAGGAATCCACGCTTCCAGCTCGCTGTCCTACTTCTGCTCCAACCCCCAGGCCACCCTCCCTAGTTAAAAAACTGGTCAGATTCTTAGATCTGGATTACATGATGTTGAATCTTCACATATTTAAGAAGGAGCTAAAAATGTTACTACCAGGCAAATCAACAGCACTGATCCAAAAGTAAAGAAAACCCCCTTTCCTTTCTGATTGGTTAAAAATAATTCAAGAACATAGAAACTCAAGACAATATGTCTTTTTCTCACAGCTGTATTTTTGAAAGGTTGTTTTCTGACTGTACAATGTTAAGGAAAAGTTATAAGATGGAGGACTGTATGGAATAGGACTAATAATTTCACTAAAGATTACAATCACCTTTAAAAATATTATTTAAAAATTTACTCTAGTTTTTTCTTTCAAAAATATTAAGCATCAGTTTCAGAAAACTCTCAGAAAACTCATGATGAAGCTGGGGATACAGTTTGAACATTAGCACTGGGCAAAGATGAAAAAACTCCTCCTGATTTTGGAATTATCATGTAAAGGTTAAGTCCCTGTGTATACAGCCATAAGACTTAACTGACATTAAATGAGACATCCCTTGATGTATCCCTTCCCTGTCCCTCTTTTTTTTTCTTTAAAGACAAAATGGAAAAGAGAAAGCCATTTGTATGATGATGGGAAATATTGGATCTTTTTTTACAGGAAGCGTTCTGGAGCATGTTTCTGTAGATGATGTGTGTATATTTACAATTGTCACTTTGCTGGTAATGTTTATTTGTAAAAATTGAGAGTTAGAAGAGCATTGTATTTGTCTGCGAGGAGTCACAGACACGTAAATGTATGTGTTTGTGAGTATTTGCAGGGCTGGGCTTAAGGTTTACACACACTAATATAACAGCATTTACACTTTTTCTGAAAAGTAAATTCTTAGAGGGATTTGACATTGGGTAAGTACCAATAAATATGGGGGGGGGGGGGGTGTATGTATATAGGTTTGTGTGTGCTTTTGTATCCAAGGGAGAAACAGATCTGATGCCTGGTATGTAGAGACTGGGACCCAGAATAGCTGGGACACTTTCCCAAGGGTTGTACCTTGTCTCTTTCTGGACATAAGTTTTACAATCAGTAAAATACATTATTATTATGTTTACATCCTTTGGTGGCCTATTTTCAATTTACAGATGGAAAATGCTGTCTGAGATGTAGCTGATAGTATTTATTGATTTCTGTCATGATTAATAACTTTTTAAACTAAAAGACAGAAGTAGATACTTCTCAATGTGGTTCAGTGACAGAAGCTGCTGTGTGACTTCACAATTGAAAGCTCCTGGTAATGTCAACCTGGACTTCTTCATGACATTCTGCTCTATTAGCTTCATCATACAAATTTTATTTGCTCTAAATCTGTCAGGATCAAACACACTTGCCACTGCTTTGCCTAGAGCTTTTAATTTTGTCTTTGTTCATTTGTTTAAAAAGCAAGACTAGAACTTAAAATAAAAAAGGTACCTTGCAAAGAGTGATTGTACTTGTAGAATATATGTGTGGTATGCTATAAACATTAATACAATAGTGTGTATAGTATTGCTATAAATTAGTTTCTAAAATATCTTGGGTGCTTTGGTTTTTCTTTTAATAAATCCATCACTTAAATTAGTGAAGATGAGTCCAGCGGGCTGAAATTAACAGAGATGTTTGGATTCAACCGTGAAGAAAAAAAAATAAATAATGCTGGTTAATTCCTGCCTTCTCTGTTCTCCAGTTAACAGATTTATCTAATTTGTTAAATGGTTTCTTTAGGCAATGACAGGCCATAGTCTCTTAAGCAAAATATAGGACACTTAAGATGCCTTCAAAAATGTGCACAAAGAGTTTTGAATGGGTAAACATTATCATTTTGTTTCTATACAGAGAACCTCGAAAAATCATCCTGCACAAGGGCTCCACAGGACTTGGTTTTAACATTGTGGGAGGAGAAGATGGGGAAGGCATTTTCGTGTCTTTCATCCTAGCAGGCGGGCCTGCTGATCTCAGCGGAGAGCTGCAGAGGGGAGATCAAATTTTGTCTGTAAGTACTTGTGGTGGCCTTTGCTGGCCAACTACTTAACCTTGTTGTTTGTCTACACTTGCAAAAGATACACAAAGACGTCTTTTTGGTTTCCATGTTGTGAAATCCAAGCTGGAAACCATTTATCACTGAACATTTTGTTTATTTGCTTCTGTTTTTCATTGCATATGTTACTGGTGTTACCTGCACTTAGCTCAGAATTAGACTTTTCTCAGCTTAATGCTATCTACAGTATGGAAACACTGCAGAGGAGACCTAAACACAGCGCAGACCTCAGCATCTCCCAGTTTAGCCCATCGTCCAGTTCCATTTTCTGCAAAATTCACTACTGAGTCCAAAGATATTTCTCAATTTCAGCTTTTCTTTGAGGAGAAAAAGCAGTGGGATGAAATCCTCTAGACTGGGGCTGCCACCTAGTGTGCACTGAACTGCTTAGCGAATGGCCTGATACAGGGACGAGATTAATTAGGTTATGTTAATTATCTCTGTGCCTCTAATGAATTTGATGATCACGCTGGAATTAATTTTTAAATTTTAGAGGATAAAAGGCTTTGTAGCCTGTAGTTATCTTTTGCATACTTAGTCTCAAAAACATCTTTTTAATTTTTCTTTCGTGTATATGAGGATAGCACACATTTTAAAAACCAGAGCGTTTATGTTTTAGGCTCTGTCAAGTAATTGAACATTTGACTGAAACAATGTGAACATAATGGATTTTGAATGACGATGTGAGCCTTGAAAATGTAGTTAAATATCCATTCACATTATGCCACCTTACAGAAAAAAAAAAAAAAAACTAGCCCAAATTGACGCAGTTTGTAGCTGCTTCATGCAAAGTACATAAATAGCCTTAAGACAAAGAACAAGAACACAGGAATTATTAATCCCAGACGAGTGATTGACCCACTAGGCTGCAGTGTCCCTGTCACTCCCGCTGTCGTGCTTTCTGTCCCTGTGAATCCAGCATCCTTGGCTGCACTTTGGGTAGCAGCAGGGTGGAAGATGGCTTTAGCCTGGATGGTTTGTGGAATGGTTACGTGGCACTTTCCTGGTCAGTGTTTAAATCCCTTCATGAGGAAGCTGGAACTGGTTTCCCTGCATTGCTAAAAAGTCTTGGCCACTGGTCTGTTCTATGAAGAATGAGTTTCCCTTCTCCCTGTCCAAGTTTTGGTGTGAAAAGGTGGCTGTGGCTGCTTGGTGGGAAATGCGGTGACTTAGCACCAAAGGGATGCAACAACCTGAAGCTGTGAGGATTGTAACAGTGTATTTTATCTAGACCTGTTCCTTGAAAATGCTTAAAAAAAAAAAAAAAAAAAAAAGCTGAGAAAGGGCAAGTAAAAGATGTTTAGGTGCCTTAAAGAGATCCTCAAGTACAAAGTTTGTAGGAAACTGCAAGAAAACCAAAATAGACTCTTACAGCATTATCAACATGAAGAGATAAGAAAGGCAAAAGCCTGTGCCAAGAAGAAAACAAACAGACAAGAAACTTGAAGAATAGAAATGGAAATTTCTTCAGAACAATTATGCAGTTTATTTTTCTTTGGCGAGATGCAGCAAAAGAAGGCTGACTGAAAGAGCACTGTGAGATCAAAGCCTTTCAAAGTATTCAGAAATCCAGCAATGCACATCCAAATTTAAAAGTCCATTTACCTTTATTTCTAATCAGGAGTGTATTTAGCACCGTAGGATACTGCCACAGTTGAATTTTTCATTCTAATTTTTGTCCGTTTCGTAGCAATGTTTTCCATAAATTCTAATTAAAGTTACCAGTGTTGCTGCAGCATTTCATTTTCATGCAAGAGTGGTTTATTTGTTCATTGAGCAGAGAGGGATGGAAATTATTACTAAATTAGACCGCATGCATATCCCCAGGCAATCACCAAGTCAGGCACTGCTGACTTATTTAGTCACAAACAACTATTATGAATCCATTTTGCCACATTGAGATGAAACAAATTTCATGCGCAGGCTACTCTTAGAGCTTATTAATCTGAGACCATTGTCTAGTGAAGGGTCCCAGACACTTTAATTTCATAAGGGCTGCACAAAGTAGGTCTGTTTCGCTTTGTTTATTCTTTCTTGCCTCATCCCTCAGAAACACTTATTTCCCTGCAAAAACAGTTTTCCAATTTGTTTCTCCAAATATGACAAATCTGATTTACCAAGAACAAACAGTACCCTCAAACATAGTCTTTTTAATTAACTCAAGCTTGGTTACATTTCCTTCCGACGAGAAGAATAATAAGTGATTTAAACTTTGGAGATCTGGATTTAATTATCTGTTTTTTGCTGTTGTCCTTCTGTGTGACCTTAGGCAAGGTGCTTTATTTTTCTAAGGCTCAGTCTCCCACATGGAAGAGGAGGATCCCAGCACATTCCTAATTCCTACCTGTGCTGTGAATATGGCAAAGTCTTGCCTGGTTGGGAGATGTATATACTCACCTTCAGGAAGGTACCTATAAAAATACCTTAAAAAGTCTGCTAAACCGTGAGTTAGACCCAACAAAGCCAGGATTAATCATCGCCTTTGGGTGACACACTGGGTGTAAATGTAGTCCCAGAGTCAGCTCACAAGGTTTGGACAAATCCCGTTCTCTCTCTACCTCTTTCTGCTCCCTGTTACGTGCGAGGGAGTGGTCCAAGCCTACAGCCCTTAAGGAGCTCTATGGAGGATGATGCCGCAGTCTTGGCTCCATGGAAAAGCGAAATTTGCGTTTATTTTTCCCAAAGGCCACCAGATGGCATCATAGGATCAGTAATGACAGAGCTCTAACTGGCTAAAACCTTCGGAAAACCAGTGATCGCTGTAGTTTTCTGTTTTCACTTGACTGCGAATATTTAAAAGTTATCTGAGAAAGCAGGTTGATATTCCCAGGGCTTCTGTGCAGAGAGACAAAATGAATCATATCTGAATCTTGAAGGAAAATTGAAGAATAATGAAAAATGTTCTGTTTCAAATGGGAAAACATTTCAAATAGCAAAAAAATGAATTATGATAAGCTGTTTTTTCTCTCTAAAAGGTAGGATATTTTTAAATGCTGGTTTCTTCTTGCTGTAATTCATTATGCTCTTGTGAATTACCACCAAAACAAACATTTTCCTTCTTACTTCTGAATATCTTTAAAATGTAGCGATGCTTACATCACCAGTGTACAATCATCACTGTAACTATATCCCTCCCTGTAGTATTTTCTTCTTATTAAGTATAATGTAAATATTATCAAGTAGCATTTTGAATACTAATTCACATCAAGACTTGATTTGATAGGCACTGTGTATACACAGATTAACTTTCATCTCAGACGTGTATAACCAGAACGAAACGGCTCAGAATATCAATAGAAGCATTATTTCCATTTTAGAGCAGGTGCCATTATGTTAATTGATTTGCTTAAAATCACGTAAGAAGTCTGGGCCAAGTCTAGACTTAGAGGCTGCTTGAGCTCTGATCTAACCTCAAATTCTCCATCTGTTATGTGAATGCAGTCTCCAATAAAAATAAAAGATGATGTTCTTTGATTCTGTTCTTGCAGTTTAAGATGCTATGGAATGTATTGCCTATTAAAACAGCAATGGGGACCCAGTGTTGTTTGGCTAAAATCACCTGTATGAGAACAAATGCTTTCCAAGAGCCGTACACATAAAATAGCCACGCATTGTACGTACAGCCTTGCTGACAGAAAGCAGTACAAATCTTATAATTTTAGGAAGGAGGTACATAGTGAATACATTGTCATTTTTAGGGGAAATTCCTGGGGAGGCAGGAGGAGGAATATGGTCGTATTCAAACAAAAATTGCCACATCATTTTTTGCCTTACAATCTCAAATCAAAATTACGGTAAAACATACCTACTTATTTTAGGTGTCTTAACCTGCATGTTTCAAAGCACTTTCAGTGACAAGTGAGGAACTTTATCTATAGGTACAGTACCTAAAGCAGAGAGAGTTAGTTTACACATGAAAGTACTGCAGCAAAATTCAGATTTACAATTTGCACACAAATAATTGGTGTATATTGCACCTTGAATTCACAGAATCACAGAATGTTAGAGATTGTTTTTTCAAATAGTTTCATAATTTTCTATAAGACTGCATCAATTTAAAAATATGTATACAAGAGAGAATTAAGGTGAATTAATAGCCAAAAGGAGGTAACAGCCATTATTAGCATTTGAATCTTAACTTTTGAAATTACTGAATTTTGTGTCTTTGGACAAAACAAGACTAAACCTCAGATTAAGGTATTAAATTTAGACATCTGCCTGCTTGCTGGGTGTCTGGTTGCCATTAAAGTCAGCGGAGGCTACAGAACGATTCAGCTGGCCAGCTATGAGTTGTGTAGAGTGCGTTGAATCTCTCTGTAGGCTTTATTGCCTGTACTGATTGGGCATCCATCGACTTTAAGCTTAAACACTTACCCACATGTGTGTGTGTCTATATTTAGGTGTCTTAAACTGAATCACACATTTCATGTGTGCTTACCGTTGTAATAGGTGCTTGTTTTTTCACCTCATATCGTGTTTGCTTCATCACCAACAAAAGTAAAATAAAATCATGGGCCATAAAAGCAGTATCAGTTTTGTTTCGTTCTCCATTAGAAATGCTGTAGTGCCTTGTGGTTCACAACAGCAGGATGAAGTGTGGCTGGTAACCTGAAAGTAGACTCACAACAAAAAGGAGACTGCTTACTCTGGAACAAGATTGCTGCTCCCAAGCAACACATCCCACAGGTTACCTTAAGGAAATAAAAGAAGTTTGCAGGTAGCACTCTTGCAAGGCTTCTTTTTTCCCTGCTGCCTAACCTGAAGCAGATGAATGAAGTTAACCAAATTCTGTATGATTTTCCTCTTGATCTAGCATAGTACCAGAATGTATTTATATATGGGGCAAGACAGTGTCTTTTTTCCCCTGCTGTTTTCTGAGAATCAAATAACTATGCATTGGGAAAGGGCCTTCAGAGATATTCTGTGAGGTTCTGTGTCACTGGTTCGTAACACTA